TGTGTTTCCGCCCACCCACAGCTCACAGCGTGACACGGGCCTCCTGCCCGCAAGGCGGCGGGGACACCTGACCCGGCCCGTGTCGTTTTCCAGTGGGTCCCGGGCGCGGCACAGCGTGGCCTCCCCGCCCGCTGCCGTGACAGGACGTGACCCCAAGCGCCCCGCTGGCTCTATCGAACACCGAAATTTCGATGGGATGGTGATGTTTGGCTCCTGGCGCACACGGAAGGGCGCGCGGCAAAACCCACGTGCAGTGCATTCTGGGTAATAAGAAATTCTATTTTTAGAGAGTTAGCTAAAAAGTCATTAACAATGAAGTAGCCTATAGGCATTTTTTTATCCAATTTAAATATTACTTTAGCTTATTTAGGAAAAAATAAAGGTTGAAAATAATCAGTGGCTGTTCTGGTGATGTAACACTATGAGACGAGGGCTTTTATTTGGACGTCTTTTACGTAAGACTTGCTGTGAGTCTAGATGGAGCAGTCAGTGATCTGTCACCACTGCTGTTGGGGAGGGGCATCCTGCCACCTGCTGCGTGTGTGTATTTGTGTGTGGATTTTGCATGTTTGTGCAATTTTCCACCTGTCACCATGCAGTCAGCTGGATCTCTGTAAATGTGAGTGTGTCCTGAGATGCACTGGCGCCCCCTTCAGGGTGTTCCCAGCATAGTGCCCCTGCCTCCTGCAATGGGCTCCAGGCACAGTGTGATCCTGGAACAGGAGATGAATAGGAGTCTTCAGCCCTTTGGCTGCTCTGTTCCTGCAGGTATCTCTGGTTCTCTCTCTGAGGACCCCGGAGGAAACGTCCGTTTTGGTCAAGGAACTGCCCCAATAGGTGACATGAGGCAGGATGTTGTTTCCTCAGTGTAAACACCCAGGCCCATACCCCAGAAGACCTGACAGCTGTGACCAACAACACTGTTTGGCTCCGTCAGCCCCACGGCAGCGAGTCCGTCACCCTGTCAGCCGGAAACGCAGCACTCCGTGAAATGTGGCTTTTTGCCGAATCGCTCCTGGTGAATTTATGGTGTGAGAAATCAAACCGAGTCGCAGAGGCTTGTGGTTTTTTTTTGTGGTTTAACCACCCCCCCCCCCCCCCCGCCCCGTGCATTGGGAGTGCCCCTCAGCTCTGAGCCGTCACTGGCTTTCCGATATTTGCGGTCAGTGATGCACAGTGTTTATGTTGGGGCAGCCAGTAGGTTATAGGCTAATGAAGGATGGTCCCACTGGATGAAGGATGGCCCCACTGGATGAAGGATGGCCCCTCTTATGCCCCTCTTTTTGCCCCATCTTAAAAAAAAATTCACCCCTGGATGCTGTTTCAGTTCAGAAGTGTCAGATCGTGTCAGATCGCAGGTGTGACACAGCAGTGCGTCCTTCCCAACAAGGTTTTGCAAGCGTTTTAGTTTTATTACACGCTCATCAAACATCTAATGGTAGTTTGACAAAATTATTCCATCCATCCGTGGATCCGTTCCATATCGTCCATAGCTGCTTATCCAGAGCTGGGTCATGTGAGGCTAAGCCCCTCCCTGGAGGCATAAGACTGGGAAAGGCCTAGTGGGGATACCTGCCTGTCCATCAAGAGGGATGACTGTCAAAATGATTTGATAGGCACAGATAAGCAGTAATTATAGGTGTTTATGTACGTGGAACGGATAACAAATGGATACAAGTGAGCTGCTTTAAATCCCAGCATCCCGTCGGCGTTCCTGGGGCCGGGAGCCTGGGGAGATCAGAGAGGAGGGGCTTTGCCGCCCGGCCAGTCTCGCCAAACGGGACATCGCGCGTGTTTTATTGCTGTCTAAGAGCGTCTGTGCTGATGCGCATAAATCGGATTAGAGGAAATAGCCGTGATAAGATGCCGCTGTCGATTGTGCATTAGCGTCACTGGAAGTGAGAGCCGCGGGATGCCCATTATCGTTAGGCTTCTGGGAGGGCCGAGGCCTCCTTCCGTCCTGTCATGTAAAATTAATGCTGCACTCGGGTGGCGGGGGGGGCAGCTGACCGCAGATTGGTGCGGACAGAAGCTCGGACGTCCGCTGCAAACCAGGGCGTCAATACAGAATGCTTCTACAGGTAATTTACCAGGAGAATACGTAAGCCTAAATAAAGCTACAGTATGCCACACTGACATCACTTTTTATTATTAAGCTACAACCACTCATTTAACCAATTATTAAACACACAACTATAGCTACATCCTCAGCGTGTATAATTGACTGTATAATTGAAGCATTCTTGTATGCTGACATGTTACAGGGGTGCGTATTTTAATATTTTTTCTGTTGTGACAGAAAACTATTTCTGCTACTGCTTTCATTATTTCAGTACATTTGCCGCCTTGTGCATTTCAAAGCAATATCCAATTTGCGATTTTTGTTAAATTTCCACATGCAAAAACACAATCTCAAGCCAGGAGCTCAGTGTATCGCTCTTTCTGTGACACTTCAGTTCACCGCATGGCGTCGGTTTAGTGAAAGACACCATCGATCCTGCTTCCCCTTCTGAGGTCGGAGACCAAGGTGAGGGGGGTACGAGACGGGAGACCACGGCATGGGGGCTGCAGGGGGGGACCCAGCATCTCAGACAGGAGCCGACACGTCTCTCTAGGTGCTGCCCATTTTCCTTCTCTGCCACTCACATCAGTCTCATCAAGGTCCCCCACCGCTCTATAGCTTTTTATATAAAGTCCAGGGGCCAAAAACGTAAGCAGCACCAAGGACAGAGCTTAGAACAGGGTTCTTCAAATCTGGACCTCAATCCCAAATCCAGGCCTTGTTTTCAGTTCTCCCAGGTACTGTAGTTAGTTTAATAATTACTGATTCTGATTGGTCAGAGGCTTCGCACCTGGCTCACAGGTAAAGGAAGGCGGGAAAACCAGCAGTGCTGGGACCTCGAGGACTATTAGGGGCTTAGAAAAAACCCTGGTAGTTTTCTTTCCCAATTCGCATTTATTTTCTCTTCTGTAATCCATTTTTTAACGCAGTGTACTTTTCTCATCTGTTTAAATCTGTAGGCGCATATTTCAAAGCGTCCTGTAGGAATCAGGTGGCAAAAATGTCGTCAAATATCATGTTGCAATGAGGACATTAATGCAGAAGTTCCTGGTTTTCCACAGCAGGGAGGAGAGAAACGCTGAATAAAGGCAAAGTCGTACCTGAAGAAGGAACTTCACACAGTGCAAAGTCTTCAGTAAATTATTGCAAATTTATTGGTTTTATAACAAAATCATTACTGTTTAAAAAATATATATATTACATTAGAAACAATCAGTAGTTTTAAGTAAAATATTCATTTCAAGTAGTGACAAACAGAAACCCAAATTATAGTTCTAATAGAGCTGCTCTGATTTAAAAAGTTCATTGGCAAGCAGTCTCATTGGGTGCTTTTTAATTAGGGACACCTTTGCAATAACATAAAACAGAAACATTTGTGTTTAATATCCCTTTGGGGGCCAATGACTGCAATTGCAATCAACAGCACAATGGCAAGAACGGAACTGAATGAGTCAGTCAAAAAACATCATGGCGCTTATTAAAAAAATGTCTGTGCAGGAGATTTGTGTAGATGTGGTAAATATTGCTTGTCAATGGACTTTTGTTATGAAACCAGTAAATTTGGAACACTGTCACAGAAGTCAGCATCCCAAGACTTTCTGTGAGCTCTGTAATTACTGAGATTCAGGCTATGATTGAGGTGTTCTGATGCTGGAAGGAAGGCAGCTCAGGAGGATCATGGATCTTACTGTGGGAATGAGGAGGCTTTTCTCCCTTCGCGGTAAAATGCAAGGAGCGCATGTGATTAGGGCTGGTTCTAAAGCTGCTGCATTACTGCCTCCATTGCAGACAAAATGCACCTTTGGGGGTGGGGTGGGGGGGGGTCTGATTTACTGCAGATTGTGTCTGTGACTATTTTCTGAAATATAGCTTCCCTTGACCCTCACCTTTGATGTAAAGCAGTTACACCCCACCCCCAGGGCTCATGAAAATGCGTACTGGTGCGCGAGGGGTGCTGATGTTATTATGGTGCAGTGTGTCTCGGTGAGGAACCCTCCATCACGGCACCACGAGCAGGCGACCACTGGCAGCAGAGAGCGGGGAAGCCTTCAAGCCCAGCAGCTCAGCGGCGGGTATTAAAACAGCCATTTTAATCTGCTCTGTCACCTTGCATTTGCAGCTCAGTCCCGGAAAAGCGGCCGGGTAAGAGAGACGGTAAGGGAGCATCCGGTTTCATAACAAAGTGGAAAATATGCAAAGATCCCTCTTCTTTATGATTGAATCAAGCGAGGCTTTTTGGGAAATGGACAAACCATCTGGTACCTTCATCATACCTGGTGGCACGGTGACGGAGGGGGCAGTGGTGTTACAGTGTGTTATTTACAGTGTCTTTGCAGCCTACTCCAGTTCCTTTACAGTGTACGAGGGTATAGCTAGAAATTCTGGGCCCCCTGACAAAATGTCACCTTGCCCCCCTCCCCCTCCCCCCATTATAATTTTATAATTTTAAGTGCTCAAGGGCCCCTGTAAAGTGCAGCCCCCCTGAATTTGCCAGGACATCCGTGCCCCTACTTCACCCCTGTCATTGTTCCAAAATTGCCCACTGTGAGTGTGCCCTGCGATGGACTGGCATCCTGTCCCCTGCCTCGTGCCCCACGATGGACTGGCATCCTGTCCCCTGCCTCGTGCCCCGCGATGGACTGGCATCCTGTCCCCTGCCTCGTGCCCCATGATGGACTGGCATCCTGTCCCCTGCCTCGTGCCCCGCGATGGACTGGCATCCTGTCCCCTGCCTCGTGCCCCGCGATGGA